TTCTCGAGCTGCCTGCCGCGGAGCAGGTCGAGTTCTCTGGACACACCGACAGTGCCCACTCAGGCAGCACACGAGCCAAGGCTAAGCACGTTGTTTAAAAGTGCGAGGATTTACGCAGAGGCACGACGTTGATTTAGCACGATATCCGATAATGACCATTTTCACGTTTCTGAACCTGACGCCGTTCATCTGGCGATTCACGAGAGGTCGACAAGTTGTTGAAGCAGAAGCAGAAGCGGGACAGCAAGGATTGAGCGGCGACTGGCTTGAACCCGGATACGTAAACCGCTCAGTCAGCCTGGGCACGATTTATCCTTAATTTCATTTGGCTCAATGTTCTATTGGCGTTGCTTGGAGGGCTGTTTCCCAAGTGGCATCCACGAAGTATGAAAAGGGACACCCAAGGAGGGGAAAGGAAAATAGATTTTTGTACTTTCAAACAACTGTAATCAGTTGCTTCACATGAATACTTGCTAGGCATACTCAATTACTACCAACTTGCTGAAACAATGCTCGCATATATTTGGTGAAATGTGGGTTACAGTACAGGTAGAGCGATTATCAAGCTTCTTATCTTACACTTTTAATTTTTTCAACGAAAGTCGATTAGATCAACTCTCGTCCCCGCTGATATCATCTGGGAAGATGCTCTTGACCAATTGCTTCTTGTTGATCTTGCCCATAGCATTTCGGGGTATTTGATCAACAAGTCGCATGACCTGGGGAATCTTATAACTTGCCAAGCGTCCCTTGAGGGCTCTACGCATATCGAGTGCTGACCACTTCTTGACAACGTCCGTATCTAGAACCAGGACAGCGCCGACCTTGTGGCCCCATTGCCCACTAGGCACAGCCACGACAGCTGCTTCGGCGACCTCGGGGAGGGATAATAGCTCTCGCTCGACTTCTAAAGCGCTTACTTTTTCGCCCCCTGTCTTGATGATATCAGCGGACTTGCGTCCTTGGATGAAGTAAAGGGGGCCATGTGTCCATGATTGTGAAGCAGCGGCGGAGGGGACTGGACGGCGGACAGCTACGTCGCCTGTCTTGAACCATTTTCCCTTCCCGTCTGAATCTTCAACGAATTCGCTTGCTGTTGCGGTTGGATTGCGCCAGTACTCGCGGAAGATGGTTGGGCCTCTTAGTTGGATCTCACCAGAGCGCTCACGACCTTGAGCATCGACTTCTTCTCCATCTTTGATAATTTCACCATTGTCCACGTCGACTAGACGAGCTTCAACAGACGGCAGTGGCCAGCCAACACTGGCATCTACACGATCTGAGAAGTCCAGACCGCAGCTCAGTGCCATACCGACCTCGGTCATACCGTAGCGCTCAAGAAGGACATTTCCATTGCTGAGGTCTTTCCAGGCGGTCTTGATAGGCGTCGGGAGGGCGGCGGAACCAGAAATGGAAAGGCGCATGTTCTCTGGAGAGATCGCCTTTCGGGCGGCTTCTTGAGTCTCTTGAGGGAGACTCTTGTATGAGGTAAGTAGCCTGCTATACACTGTGGGTACGACTGTGAAGAATGTGATCTTTTCCTTAGGTGTCGAGGAGTCACTGGTGAGGAATGGTGCTGAGAAACGCTTCCATACGGCATCGGCGTTGAATGGGAACATGAACTCGATTGTTGAGCCGGCGAGGAGCGGTGTAAGGATGGCATTTACAGTTCCGTGGATATGATGAAGCGGGAGGACGTGGAGGAGATGGTCTGAGGGTGAGTAGTTCCAGGCCTCGACGAGGGAGCGAGATTGCGCTGTCAAGACGGATTGGGGGAGTAGTACTCCTTTCTAAGCCGAGACTTTAGCACAAAGAGCCATTGAAGCACGATGAGCAGACTCACGGGTTTATTGGTCGTTCCCGAAGTATACAACATCATACCAGCTTCACCAGCATCGGCATCGCTCAGTTGCACCTTGTCATGACTACCCCCACCTTGATGCTTCTGAAGCTCTACATGCGCCGGCTGGGTTGTGAGCTCAGTAGCAAGAACTTCCTTGGCCTTGGATGCGAACTTTGGTGAGGAGACTAGCAATGACGCTTCACTCTGGTTTAGAATGTATTGTAATTCTGGCGCAGGGAATGCAGGCGATAGAGGCACGGCGATAGATCGCGCAGCCATTGCGGCCAAGAGTGTTACTATACAAGCACATGTCAATGGCTGTCGCAATGCGATTTCGCGGGATCACATCATGAGCTCACCTACGTAGTCATAACTATTCTCAACCAGGAACGCAATGCGCTCGCCATTGAGGTCCTCACGACCAGCAGCTTCGGCCAGCCTGTCCCGTGCGCGGCTAACATCACCTAGAAGCTCTCCATACTTGAAGGTCCGACCGGAAAGAGAGTGGATAACAGCTTTGGAATCTGGATCATGTTCTGCAACAGCTTCGAAGAGCGGTAAGCGTGGTAAGGTCGAGAGCATTCTAGCAGCGGGACGGAGGGTAATGAAGGAAGCTGTGGTAGCAGTAGCAGACGGGCGCCGGACGGCGGAGGTGACGAGATGTCGGAGGAGCGACATGACGAAGAACAATTCAAGGCCCCGAAGCGCCGGGGTTTGGCGACAAGGATTCAAGAATTAGAAGAGGCCAATCCGGAGTCTCTGCTGTGCAGACTTGGGCGCTGAATGCAACGTTGAGGTGTGGTTCAACGGCGCATTTGCCGAGGCATGCACTGAGGAGGGGGGATAGGATAGGATAGGATTTAGGGATTGACGATCCCGCTGAAGCATGAGCATGAGTTAATTGAAGAAGCGACAGCTGAATTTAGAAATGGAGTTGCTTGCGTGCGTGCGTTGTGAAGCAAAAAGCTCCAACTAACGTCCCATGTGCTAAAGTGGGTTTGGCTCTTTGACGTAAATGGGGTCAAGTCTTCGGCCCACGGTCCCGGACGGACGGCCGACTTCCCCGTAGGTACGTACCCTTTAGAAGCGGCGCCGAACAGTTTCGAGGAGCTAACAGAAAGTAAAGGTGCACATCTTTTGAGGGAGAGAGTGAAGAGGATTCAAAAGTGAAGCCAATAAGCAGCGTCTCTCTTGTTTACGGATGAGTATCGGCAGCTAGAGATGCGTCCGCGTGTGTTTTTAGCTGGGAGGCTTAAGGAACCGTTCGACTGCAATGCAACACAAGCGTTGTACATGTGCGTACGTATCCGGCCAGGCCCAACAGTTGAGATGAAAGTACAGCACAGTACATACTTCTTCCTGTCCTGAGACCTGAGTCGAGTGGGAGACAGGGAAGATGGTGACTGATTTGTTGTGCTGGGCTGTTATGGTTGAACGCTGGCCTCATCAACAACTCACGAGTCAAAGACGAATACGTGAATGAGTGGATTGCATATTTGACATCTTTTTTTTCTTGTCCTTCTCTCTAAACAAACCCCGGACCTTTACTTTTTAACGCTACCTTACTGTGACTACCTTGCCTAGGTATGGAGCCAATCCACGAGACCGCTATCGCATCGCACCAGATCCCGCCTGTTTGGGCCCGTACCTACAGCAAAGCTCCAACAGCTCCAGTGACAAGATCCACTGTGTATGCTGTCAAGTCTGCAGCCGGGGGTGTGTGGTATATGTCATTAGGGATGCATAGTAGCGGCGCTAGCTTAGTAGGCAAGTCTATCATGAGTGAAAATGTTGACTCTCTTGCTTTTGTCGTGGCATTCTACTATTTGCAACGATGAGACTGGCCAGAGAAAGAGAGAGTCTCAGAGTCATAGAGAGAGTCAGAGACAGAGAGACGAGAAGAAAGAGAACAGGGGTTGGTAGTTCGTAACCCTTGTTCCTGGCTTCACCGCTCTAGAAGCCAGGCGGTCAGGGCCAGCCGACGCCCGACCCAACCGTCTGGACGGACACGCAGATTGGCGGCTGATCATTTGCTAAAAAGAGGCTTTCAGCGGTGTTGCACTGTAGGGATGTGATGCGATGTGATGGATCGAAAAACTTGTCCGCCACTTTGGCTCATGGAAAGACGGTAAAAATGAAATGTACAGTACCTACGCAGCTAGTAACTTAGATGCCCCGCGCTTTTCACGGTACAGTAGAAGGAATAACGAACATGTTTAGAAGGGGGATGCCTGTACCTTACAGTGTTGTACTGTGCAGTACATACTTTGTCTCTGTGACTTGCTTGGTGGCTTTTTTCGTCTTTGCTTCTGCTTGTCTTGTTCCTTTTTTGCTTGTTGTTTCCTACACCGACTTCACACCGAAACGGGATAACGGCTCCCTGAGTTGTCAATTTCACAAATCACAATCAGTGTATGCGTTTTTGTTTTTTCACGAGAGAGTGAACGTGTTCCGCCACTTTTAGATACTTGCTTTAGGTACTGATCCATCCATAGAATGTACTGTACATAGTAGTTAGTCTAGTCCAAGCTTCTCTAGATCCCATATCCCGTCCATATCTTGAAACGTATATCAGTTTGTCCTGTCCCTCCTCTCTCAACTTGTATTTCCAACCTTTCACTTTCCGTCTCGTCTCGTCTCGCCTGCAAAGTCTCTTGTTTGCTATTTTTTTCTCGCTTTTGACTTCCTGTTTCTGCTTTCAGTTGTCACGTCACAGACAATCACAGTGTGGTTATTTTTGGGGGCAGAGCCAGACCGATAACCTAAAGCTTAAAGAGGCGGACAAACCGACAACTCGGGAACCTCATTAGAAAAACCTACTTCACCTCCCTCACAAGCTCCCACCAGCCAAAGGCCAACCAGAGCCTTTCGTCTTGCCCTTTCGATCCATTACCGCTCCACTTGGGATCCCGACAAGAAAGATTCTATTCTTTCTTTCTTTCTTTATATCGCCCGCGAATTCCGAGTTGGCCTCGACTCAATTCGTTTTTTAAATAGTCGCATCTGTTTCGCCTTTGTCGACTCTGTCTAGTTTCCAGTCGACATTGCGCAAAATTGTACCTGGACGTCGCTACGTTCTTCTATTTTCAGACCGCCATACCTCATGTTTCGACGATACGCGCTCGGCTTTTCGAGCGTCCAGCGACAGCTCTCAACCATGAGCAACTCCAACACTCCCGTCGAGGATCTTATTCGAGCCAAGGTGAGAGAGATCTCAATACGCATATTTGATGAAACCACCCACTGACTATTTCCTCTAGATCACCGCGGCCTTCAATCCCCAAACTCTCGAGATCTACAATGACTCTCATCTTCACTCCCACCACAAGGCAATGGAACACACTACCTCCAGCGAGACACACTTTCGGTAAGAATTGCGCTCTTTGTCACTTTCAACCGACTCCTGTGCAACCTCCTTTTCTCATCTCATCACAATTTGGAATCAGATCATATCATGTCGCCTCATCTCATCTCATCTCATCTCATCCCGCGTGACACTCTTGTCATGCAATGCAGTCTCTTGTACCCCATACTCACTCACACCCTTCCTCACTCACCCACACCGTTCTTCTGCACATACCTACCCCGGTCAACCCAACTTCACAATCAAAGATGCAATGCATAACTAACACGTGACAGCGTGGTCATCACCTCCGACGCCTTCAACTCCAAGATGCAGCCTGCCCGTCACCGCATGGTCTACGCCCTTCTCCGCGACGAGATGGCCCAGGAGAACGGCATCCACGCCCTCCAGCTGCGCACCATGACTCCCGAGGAAGAAGCCCGCCAAAGGAAGAAGAAGGAAGACGAAGCCGCTGCCCGTGCCGCCCGAGCTGAATCTGAGGAAGAATGAAAACAACATCACTCTCTCTTCACCAGCAGACAAAAAAAAAGCACACGAAAACAAATCAAAATCATAATGACCGCTAATGACAGAATGACGACTTCAAGGCTTAACAACTCCGGGATTTCTTTTTTTTTACCCTTACTCTCAGCAAATCCAAAAACATCACCAATTTGGGATCAGCAGAACAAAAAAAGGAACAAAGGCGAAAAAGACCAACGTCGAAAAGGGATGGGCAGCGAGAGTAGTTCGTGCCACGGAGTGAAGACGCAACACAAAATTGATTGGGACCCAAAAAATTGACACAAGATTGTATGATACCCCCCCTTCGTGGAAAATGAGACGACGACTGGCAGTGGGGGCGAAGATTAAAATCTTGTTCTTGTTACACGGAATGATGGGAGGAATGAAGTTGAGTATCTTGACGAGGAAAGGCAACTGGACACCAAGGACTCTTATTTCTTTTCTGATACTTCCATCTTCTGCATCATCGCCATGCTGCCAGTTGCATTAATCAAGCCAGGTTCTCAGTCGAACCAGCTACTTAGCTTACCATAGACATGTTGCCCACGCACAATAGACTGTTCTTTCCGCCACCGAATCAATCTCTTTTTCATGCAATTGAGTCTATGGACCTTTCATGGCCTGGCCTGTGATACTTGATGATATAATAATACTATACAGTCATGAGGATGTTGCTGACGGCATTTCTGCAGATTCAACAACAATTTTGGGTATCAGATACAATAAAAACAAACGCTTTAGCCTCCCCGAAAGTTTCATTCGTCAGCATGGCTATCACTTCCTCGTCATCTCGATCCTAGCGCTTTTCCCGATCCGCGATTCTATTCAAACCGGCCACTGCTGCTTCGACGATCTTGCGCCCCTGTCCCTTTCGATTTTCTGAAATGCTCTCGAAGCTTTTCGAGGTCTTTTGCCGAGCGTTGCTTTGGCGTTGCCTTCCGTAGGTCCTCGGATATTCTTTTGAAATACTGTGAATGTCGAGGAGCCGCCGACTTGATTGCTGAGCCTCCTATGGTGGATGGTGGTAACATTGAGGTTTGTGGCATTTGGGGTGAAGTGGGTGGAGGAGGCTGAGTCAGGATCTCTTGAACTCGTGAGGGCTGCACTGGCTTTCTCTCAGAAACTGGGTTCCGTCGTCTGATGCTCGACTGTGCGGGAGTGATGGGCTTCGCTGTTGGCACAGGCCTCGAGACGATCTCCAAGTCATTCGTCGATGCTAATGATGGCCTTCTTTTGCTGGAAGTTGAAGGTACAGACGGGATCTCTGGGAGGTCGATTTCCATATCATCCTCGATAGTTGCAATTGGCTGTGGTGACTCGACGCTTTCCCTCTTTGAAGAACGTTGGGATGATGGGGAAACCGAACATTGGCTGTCGTCCTCATCAACGTCACCTTCATCTTCTGAGCTTGTATATATCATTAGATCATCCCCGCCAGCATCATCTTCGTTTTTCTTAGATACCAGCTCATTCGCACGTGCGAACTCCTCCGGGTATGATCTGAGGATGTGACTCAAGTTGCCCCTGTTCACAAGATATTTATTGTATACCAAGGGCCCTTTTTGCTGATTGAACCACTTGATAGCAACCATAGGTTCCATACGGGAGCGTTTGACGTACTCCCCATAAGAGCACGGGTAAGCTCGGATGAATTCGTCATAGAGGCAGTCTCGAAGCTGCTTCCTTGGACGGAGGTAGTTGAGGTATACACAAGCATAAATGAAGTTGGACTTGGTCCCGGGCAACTTATCACCTCCGTTTTCACCAGGGTAATCTGGATATTGCTGTATAAATGCTTCGTAGGGTTCCAGAGGAGCGCCTGGCGCTATAAGTGGCGCAGGAGCAGGAGACTTTTCTGTCTTCATTTGGTCATTCATCTGTGGTTGTGATTTCGTTCCTGCTGTCGTCTTTGACGAACTCATCTGGGAAGATGTGGTCAGCTGTTTTATCGCCTTGCTCTCGTCACTTGGCTTCTCGTCAGTACCGTCGACAACCGGACCATCTGCAATTGAACCATGGAAGTTGGTTGAGGGAACAACTTCCTCCACCTGGTCCATCGTTTCATCTTCCTTCATCTCTATTGACTCTCTGATATCTTTGACGGACTCTTGTGTGATGGGTATACCCGTAAATGGAATAATAGAATCGGATGATGTTGGCATAGAGTCATCGATGACTTTTTGGGGCATTGTGTTTGGGGGCATTATGGTGGGTGGCATACGATCTTTTTCGTTATGGCCTTTCGTCCTATTCCGACTTTCAACAATGATTGGCCTGAACCTTAATCGACGAGTTTTCGGGCTCTCATTCCCATGAATACTTTCTTTGCTTGTGAATACGGTATTTGGCACCACCACTGGAGCTGTGTTGCTCGGCTGAGCGCATGGCGGTGTAGCCATGGTCCTGTTGGTGGAAAGCGGAGAGGGTGCAGTCGGTTTAGACCGCACTGCCGATTTATTAACGGAGCCATTGTGAAGAGGCTGAGCGTCAGGAATCCGTGTTTCCAAGTCGTCTTCAGTCTCCCCGGAAGAAGGTGGGTTCTCAATGATCGGCTTTGGTGTCGGCCGCTGTGGGCGTCCGAAGCCTGGCCCTGTTTTTGGTGTTTCGTGGACAATAGATGACTGGGTGTTTTGGTCAACTATGGCCACCGCTATACAGTCCGCGTCTTTTGAGGATGTGGGCTCCGGCGATGGAGACCAGGACACAGCACGCTCAGGGGATGATTGTGGAGGTTTCGCATGGTCGGATCTGGGTGTGCTCGTTATGCCATTACGTTGCCGTTTATTGGCTGGTGATGATACAGGACTCCGATTGCGCTTCTTCAAGATCGGAGTGTGCTCTTGGATTTTGTGCTTGTTAGCAATATACGTTGCTTTCACTGTCTCAAGAACGTGTCCTGGAAGATGCGAAAGGCCATGTGGCGTATTCTCTAGCTCGACAGCCCACGAGTCTGGTCTTTCGAGCAGTGTCCTTTGGTCGGAGGGAATGTTTGTGACGCGATGCCGGCTGAAAAGCTCCGTGATGTCCCGATCAGGGGACGTTTTGGGAGACATTGGGATGCGAAAGATTGCCCACAACCGGTCGCGATGTGTGGATGTTACATGGGAGGCTTCGATGATGATTCTGTGCGACGGGGCGAAGAGATCGGAAGAAGGTGTGCGGCAAGGATAGGGTTTTCGAGATGTGCGACGTATGCGATGGATGAATGGCGGGTTTCCTTCTGCATATAGAAAGTTTTGTGCGAGATAACAATGGACCTCTCAGAATGAAGCTTGAGTGAAAATGCTTTCTTGAAAGCTCGAGGTCTATCGAATCGAAACGAAATTCAGCGCGACGCGACGGGTAATTTTGGGCCGTGTGCGCAGCTGCGGGGTCCTTTGTAAGGTGTGGTAGGCGGGTGGCTCGTGCTTGATCAGCGCCAAGTCATCGGTACTTGAAATTTTTAGTTCAGTTGTGCTTAGAGGCTCAAGTTGGTGATATCGATAGACGTCAACTGGAAAATGAAGACGGCGAGATAACCGTGATGTTGTAGAAGATGTTAAGCGAGATTCAACAACATGGCCTATGGAGGGAGAGTCACACATCGCATTGAAATGGTCATCTAGACACAATCAACTCATGCCAACGTTGACTGTTCCACAACAGCAAAAAAGTAACCCAATCGAGACCTGCATGTACCGGTGACCCCCATGTCGTTAACAGTCAAAAGGAGGAAATAAAACTCAGGACTTTAACTTCAATGACAAAAACACTAAGGTAGATTTAGCTTAAACTTAGAATACCTTTTGTTGAGTTTATTTTGACATTCTATAACATGTCTCGAATTTTCTTGCTCCCGTAGACAGTCCAGGCTTCAGGCTTCGGCTGCCTTGCAAGGGTCTGACGCCATCACGCATCCAAACGCCCATCTCAGATGCCCAAAGGTTGTTCTCGACCTTGGATCTTCACCACGTACAGCAGTGATTAGCTGTGCGGGATAGCATATTCCTTCTGCGCCGCAGCATCCAGCTGATGCCCTTTCGTCATTTTGCTTCCTGTCTCTTGCCTTATCCGCTATCAGAGCCTGTCTGAACTACCTACCTTAACCTTAGCCCGCTCCATTCCGTCTTTTCTAAGACGAGAGACCCCAACCTTGGGTTTCTTGCAGTTTCGTCTGCCTATCCACAACAGCTTCACCGATCAGCGAAACCCTGAAGATCGACCTTGACTTCTCCGCACCACTCGTCGCTTCCACTCTGCATTCCCCATCCATCCACCAAGTGCTTTACCCATTTCTTTAAGTTCGTCGGATCACCATGCTGTTGATAACCTATACTCGAACTGTGGCTGCTGCGTTTGCTTGAGCAACTCGAAGCAGACAAACGTCACATGCTTTGAGTCTTCAGACTTCTAAAGCCTTCCTGTTGACGATCGCCGTGCATCCACATCCCGACCTCCAGCCTCATTACTCAAGTCGCTACGAGGTTTCATACGCTGGATCTGCCAGCCCATTATTAGAATAACAACGTTCTCAACATGTCGCGGCCCAGATCCGACTCCGTGGCATCGACAAGCTCTCCCATCCGTAACCGTCGCGATTCTATCAACTCGATTTCTACAGGGCAACTTGCTCATGCCCTAGACAAGATACACACATCCGCTAGCCAGTGTGAGACTCTAACTACCTTCAACGACTTCGCACCGCCTCCCGTAGCAGCACCAACCTCAGAAAACAAAGGAATAGCAGGCGATCTAGTCCAGCAAGGCTTCAGCGGACTCTATAGTCGTTTGAGGGAGGCTGTAGGTGGCGGAGGCACCTCCAAATCACCTCAGGAACAACCATCAGGAGAAAGATCAGAGCCTTCCTCCAAAAGAACATCGATTGTTGCCAATCATGGCTCCAAGGCCTCTATCGGCTCGCTTAGTCGAGCTGACACCGGCGCCTCACTATCCACGTCCTCGTCTCAGGTCATACCTAATGATGGGGCATCTACAAGTCAAAGTGGCGGCACTATCGAACCTCGACCGCAAGCACAGTCATCCAAGCCATCGAGTATCAGCCTGATGTCTAACCAGAAGTCCAACCCTACGAACCGTCAAAGCTTCTCCAAAAAGGCACCCAGCTCTATCGCCGCTGACCCTACGATCGCCCCTGTTACGGTACACAGAGATCCTAGTCATACCACCATCCGCACTGAGGACAGTGGCGGCGTCGGATCGAGCCGAAAGAGTATCAGCAGCCGAGCAGATTTACAAGCGCATCTAACGACGGGTGAATCATCGGCCAGTCTGTACGACATGAAAGATGGCAAGCTTCCACCCAGGTCTAAGCGTGAGGACACTTCAAGTATCGACGAAAGCATCAAAAGTCCGACAAGTCCCAGGAGTACACACCATCGTACATCATCGCTACAGACCCGAAGTCTTCGTAGCCCTTCAGTCACCTCATCTTTACTGTCACCCGACAGTGTAAGAAGGAAGCCTGCTGTTATCGATCGAATCAGCCGGTCGAGATCCCCTGGAGGCCAAAACTCGAGAGATTCCTCATTGGACAGGGGAACTGCTGAGCCTAGCCACGTCAGCACATCTGCTCATGATTCTGTTTGCCACGATTCCTTCTCTAACAACCCAAAACCACAAAAGATGGCCTCGGGCGATTTCAGAATACCCGGCACTGTCACGAGTAGTGAGGAAGCCTCTGAACAGGTGAATGCACAGCTCACTCGCATGCGTAAGCAGGTTTTGAGCAAAGAATTCTGGATGAAAGATGATACTGTCAAGGAGTGCTTCCTCTGCCAGACGCCGTTCAGCGCATTCAGGAGAAAACATCATTGCAGAACTTGCGGTTGCATCTTTGATTCGAAATGCACCACTGTGATCTCAGGCGAGAAGTTCGGTGTGCAAGGTTCGCTACGCGTTTGTAAGCGATGTCTCGAAGTCATCACTAGACGTTTCGATGGCAGTGGTTCAGAGGACTCTGGAGACGAACAATCGTTTATGCCCAGATTCTTCGGCGCAAATCATGCGAAAAGCCCCAGCAGCGCGAGCCAGTCTAAGCCGAGAGATAACGAATCTGGGGTTGCCTCCGAGGGATCGGAAGACTCGAGACCTGTATCGAGACCTGTGACGACACCAATGATGGCTATACCTGCAACTCGCCGCCTTGGAGAATCTCGTACTGCAGCCATTCTGGAGATCGATGCGCCCCAATTGAGTAGGCCAGGCTCTTCACGGTCTCTCAAATCACTCAGTGCAAGGCCACATTCTTCTGCAGGCCATAAACGACATCACTCTAAACATGCTGGCTTCCTGAACCGTTTCAAAGCTGCACCGGAAGAGAGAGCACCTTTTAGACGTGGCATTGATGATGAGAGCGCTAAGAAGCCAAAGTTTCCTGCCTTCCACGACGATAATATCATCGACCCGGAGCTGGCCGACTACATGTCCGATGAGTCAAGTGAAGATGAACAAATGAGCCTGTTTACCACCATGACAGGTGACTTACAACCCGGAAGCCTTGGTGACGACAAGTCAGAACTTACACCATACGTTAATGCTAATAGAAAATATCGCCATAGGGCAGGCGAAAAGAGCATCAGCGGTATGAGCTTCGTGAGTAGAGGTGGCCTCGATGAGCTGCCTGGAAGTCTGGGCGGATATCGTCGGCCACCAAGGCGACGGAACACTAGCAATGTTAGTGGCAGTATGCATCACTTGCCATCACCGCGTCCAAAGTCCGGCGTGTTCAAAGGCCCTTCTCAGTCCTCAGAATTGCTCTTCTCACTGGATACACCTCACCAAAGTGCAAACCAGATCACCAGGAGTGACTCCTTGCAACACAAGAAGGCCCCTAAAGTCGAGCTCAACACATCCAGTCTGAGACACGTTGATAAGTTGCTACACCAGCTACTAGACGATGCAGAGATTTCGAATCCCCCAGCGTGGCAAAAGGCTCTTGTTCCCATCCTGTTGCGAGCAACCGATGACGTGGACCCAGACGTCGTCAAGGGAGAAGATATGGATATTCGACATTATGTCAAGTTAAAGAGAATACCAGGAGGCAAGCCCGGTGACACAGCCTACATCTCTGGTGTAGTTTTCACCAAGAACTTGGCCCTCAAGAGTATGCCTCGCAGGATCACCAATCCACGAGTAATGCTTGTCACTTTTCCCATTGAGTACCAAAGACATCAACAGCACTTTATGAGCTTGCAACCTGTCATCGAGCAAGAAAAAGAATTTCTACGGGTTGTGGTCCAGAGAATCACGAATCTCCGCCCTCAAGTGCTTCTTGCTGAAAAGAGCATATCCGGTGTTGCGTTGCAGTATCTTTCCGACGCAAACATTTCAGTGGCCTACAATGTTAAGCACACGGTTATTGAAGCAGTTGCACGATGTGCTGAAACAGACATTATATCGTCTCTTGACATGTTGGCACTGCCCGTTCAGATCGGACGATGTGCTAGTTTCGAGGTTAGGACATTTGTGAATAATGACTACCCGGGTCGCAAGAAGTCATATATTTTTCTGTCCGGTTGTACTCCTGAGCTTGGCTGCACGATTGCGCTGAGGGGTGCCAACAGCACAGTGCTTTCGAAAGTGAAGCATATTATGGAATTCATGGTTTATGTTGTCTACAATCTGAAGCTTGAATCGAGCCTTTTGAGGGATGAGTCGATTGAGCTTCCAGAAGGTGGAGATTCCATGACAAACTCTATGCAGCTCCATGGCGATAGTGCGAGATCTATGAGTGTCAATAGCGTTGATAACTCGAGAGATGGCCCAGCTGTTGTGGTAAATCACCCGCCAGGAGAGAGTGAACAGCCCTCTCAAACAACTGCGGACAGCGCTAGTATTACTGAAACCGACGACACAGGTTCATTGAACCAGTCAGGCCAGTTGACCCAAGAACGCACACGTCTTATGTCTCTTCAAGAGCAGTCCGATCCTGTTGCCGAGGATCAAACCAGTCAAGTTCCAGACGATGTCCCTATGCCGACTTACTATAGTGACATGGTGGCCAAGTACGAAACCAAGATCCTCTCTGCTTCGCCCTATGTCAAGTTCACACAAC